TCCTCTCAATGACCTGATTCTAACAAGCCTAAAATCATCAAAATCCAATCACTAGATCCTGAGATCGATATAAATTTGTATACTATATACTATATAGTACTATATATAGTAATATATAGAATTGGGTAAAATTCACCACCCAAATTTTTTTCAGATCATGTGAAATTATTTATTCGAAATATGTAGGATTTATATATGAAATGCAAAAAAATGCAACTGCATACAATAATATATATATACATTTTTTTAATAATTATTTTTAAGTTTTTTATGTATTATTGCAACCAAAATGTTATAATTGCGATCCTTCCATGTTTTTGGAATATGTTCCTGCTTTTTAAATTTATCACAATCTTCTATAAATTTGCATATAGGGTTAAAATTTTTGTCAATACTATCAAGCCATTTGTTTCCATTCGGATTTGTTGTGTTTTCTTCAAGGATTTTTTTTGTTGAATCCAAAAATTCGAAAATTTCTTGTTTACGTTTCTGAAACATTTCTTGATTATCAATAATATTGATAATATCTTTGTTTAAATTAGTAAATTCTTGCTCTTGAGTTTCTTGATTATTAATATTAACATTAATAATCTTTAATTTATAAACTTTAAGATTTTCAATCGCATTATAAACATTCTTTGACAACTGAATAAAAGTGGTTTCTTCTTTAATTTTAAGAAGAGGATACGATTCTTGCTATATTACCTTAAATTAAATAACTAAATAAATTACCATACAATATGTATAGCAAAGATAATCATAAGCTATAGTATCAGTACGTATATAAATCTTACTTTCTTAAAAAACCCAAATTCTATAGAATTACGTAAATACACCAAGTGCTTACAAACAAAAAACCAATTTAAAAAAAATTTAAATATGAACAAATCCAACATTCAGTATTTGTAAAACGATCAGGATTATTAGTAATCAATTTATTAGATAATTTTTTCCACTCAACCTGAAATTCTTCACGCCAGTTTGTAATACACCATCCATCACGTAACAAATGCAATTAATCAGCTTGACGAGGAATAACTTTAGAAACAATTATATGAATAATTAGATCTATTCGTGCATTATTAAAATTTGAAAAAAATTATGTTTTAAAACTCGCCAATGACCTTTGATAGCCATAGTGCTTCGCAATATATTTATCTTTGAACTTGATGCATGCGCCCAAAGATTTCACATCTCAGGACAATACTAGTTAATCCAAAAGTAAGTCTATACATAAACAAAGTGATGTTGATAGCAATAATCAAACAATTCTTTAATACTGGTTTTCCAAATTTCTTCTGCATTTAAAAATTTTAAATTTTCTACAGGAATCATTGGATGTTTTGAAAAGTGAATTCAAATCATTTGAAGTATATCTTCACGAAAATTTTTTTAACAAAAAACTTTATTTTTGTCATGCAATTCTTGAGTTGTACAGATAGGTTGCCAACTTGGATTAATAAATGAACAATAGGTATGTGCTTCGTATGTATTATAATTATTATATGTTATTCCAGTACTTGAGAGCTTTTTTTGATAGCTCGTAGCACATGCCAGTAACATAATTGGAATTTTGCATTATCCCAAGTTCTTTTTATAGCCGTAATTTGGCTAAGGTCTTTATTAGTTAAAAATGTTTGAATATTTTGTATTCCATTTTCTTTTAAACAATGAAACCATTTTATTAATGATTCCGTTTTTCCTTTTGAATGCTTTGGATCTAAAAAGAAGTATGACAATGGAAATCCAGAGCTATCAAGAATTCCCAAAACTCCATATAATTCAAATTTTAGTCGATTTGTTCTATATGTTGCATCTATGACAATTGTATTTGTAACATGATTTGGTAGTATAAATATTAAAAAAGCTAATGAATGTTCATCTTGAAAAAGAAGTTAAAATTTAAATTCTTTTCTAAATATCATTTGGCTAATTCAAGTTGGTTATCCGTTAGTTTATATTCATTTCCAGCAATTTTCTTGAACTAGTAGTAGATTTGATATCGAGTAAGATGTAAATATTCATTAATTTTTTGCTCTTTAATATTTTCATAGAGCTGCAGAACTGTTAATAAATAATTCTTCACAATATAGTCACGTATTTGTGGTGTAACATCTGTCACTTCAGGTGGTAAATGGAGGTAATGATAGTTATTAATTGCAATTAAATTATTTTTTTGATCAATGTTTATCCGAATTGTACCTCCACAATCATGATGATGAATTCGAGAAGTTGTATCATGCTGTTTTGAAACATTATCAATACGTGGTCTTTTATTTTTTAGCTCTTCACGGCTGTTACAATAATACACAAATGATATTGTATCCTTTAAAGGTTCACATTTGTGATAAATCCAAGAGAAATGATTAGCTTTAGAAATACGGTTGATTAAAATTTGAGCAATCTCTTTATCTTGTTTCTCTGAATCCATGTTAGTTAAATTTACTAACGGCTCCAAAGTTACAAAAAACCTTTTTTCAAATGAATAATCATCTGAATCATAATTAGTTGGAAGCATTTCAAAAATATAATCGACAAGTATTTCTGGTGCTATCGCACTTTCTTGATTTTTTATTACATCGGTTTGCTTTTTTTTATTATTTTTTGTTTTAATCTTTGAAGAAATTTCAGTTCAGCATTCAAGACAAGTTTTTAGTTTTCTAGAACTTTTTTTGTTTTGAAAAGCTTCGTCTGGCTTGTTTAGGTAACAATGATCGCATTCTTTCATTGTGCTTACAAATCTGATATCAAAATAAAATATGTAAAACTATATATGTTTAATGTATATATACTTACTGTACGTAATAAATTAAATTAGCATCTCCGCTTCGCTTCATTTTGGATGATCATTTCATGTGATTTGAAAAAAATTTAGATAGTGAATTTTACCCAATTGTTATTTTGCGACTATATGGTAATTCTGGCCAGAATTTAGTAAACAATTTTGTAATATGGGCCAAAATTTTGAAGATCCTTGGCCAATCAAAATCGAGGATCTGCTAGTCCAAATTTGTTGCAGTAAATATTTAGATAGGCATTTTGATTTTTCTTTAACTTTGAATGAAGAAATCTCAATAACTATCTAACAAAATTTGATGAAAATTTTTTATTCGAATTCTATGAATAAATAGAATTTAATAAAAAAGGTTTATCAAGTTTAGATGGTTATTGAGATATTTTCCTTCAAAGTTTTGAAAATTCTTAGGTATATGGTCACGTGATAGATCACTTTGACCCGGATCAAAATAGAATTGGTCAAATAAAAATATTAATACCTAATATAATACATAAATTTTTAATTATATATTATGTTGCTCTTGTTATAAAGTGATTGGTTTTGTTAATTAAAAATTCACTATAATGAGAGCTTTATTAGTAAATTCACTATAAAATATACATAAATAATTTTGTATCTAACTTCACTATATAAGATTTTAATTATGTCTAAAGATCACTATATTAATATAACATTAACTACTATATATTTTTTATATCCGACACTATCAGCTACTCTAAAAAATTTCCTATTATTTTGCCGGTCAATCAGACTTCAAGATCAGAAAAAACTACAAAAATCATTTATTAACTCAACATTTTATCTATGAAATACTTTCTGCGCACTAATAAAAAGTTTTCCTGCGAAATTTTGGCATCAGTAAAGCTTTATTTAAAATCTAACTTATTCACAAATCCTAACTCTAATTTTAATACTGTGTATCTTTATAATAATTTGTAAATTTTTGTTCAGCAAAATTTTTAAGTAGGGTCTTAATAAGTAGTGATATAATTAGTGATAAATTAAATAATTTAACTGTTCCTTAAAAGCGATTCAATAATATGTATTTAATTTATAACCTTAATATATTTGGTTCACAGAAATTAGGTTACTTCACAAACCTAGCATAACCACCAAAATTAGTAATATATGGAGTTAAAATCTTATCAAAAAAATCTAACTAAAAATATAATGCAATATGTTAATCATTTATATTTATTAATATTACAATGTATATTTATAATAAAGTAACAAGTATTTCTTTCTTGTTAAATATTTTATAAAATTATGTTTACTCAGTCAAATAGAAAAAAAGGTATGTTGTGAATACTTAACATCAAGAGCAGAATATGAATGCCTGAAAGTCTTCAAGAGTCATTTATAAAACTTAAGGTTAATACTGAAGGTGTACGAATAGAACTTAATAAATTATAAGTCTTCAAATCAAATAGACATAATTAGGAAACAATTGAAATTGTAAAGCTCTGCAAAAAAGGTGGTGTTTAGATATTCTTATTTTTATTACATTTTAAAAACATATATGTATTAATTGAAAAAGCTGAAAAAAAACAATATATGAAAAAATTCACATATCACTTTGATAAAGCACAACTTTCTATAATAGTTAACTCCATGGTTCTTGACAATAATATCGCAAATCTTTTTCTGCAAAAAAAAATAGTTTAAAAAAACCATTGAATCAAAATTTTAACCAAATTCAAAGATGGCAAACAATTCAACAAATCTGAATTAGACAAAAATTTTACAATAGCCTGGCATAAGCAAATCAAAAAATACTTTTTATTAGTAATAAACTAGTTGTAAACCTATGCAATAATGTATAGGAATAAACTTATAAAATTTTTAAATATAATTTTAAAATAAAATAAATATATAGTAAAACTT